GAGTCAGAGATGAAGAAGGAATACAACGCTCTGCACCAGCGACACACAGAGGTAGGTTCCTGGCCTTGACAAGCATCAGCCCCTAACACACAGGCATCAGCCCCTAACACTCAGAGCAAAACCACAAGAAAGCAGCTGCAGCTGGACATGTGTGGATGTCGCTGACCTTGAGTTGCCTCCTCGGCCTTTTTTCCCTGGTGTTCCACTGTCAAATCTGAAAGCTGTCAGCCTCATGCTAGTCAGACTCCATTCTGTTGAGCTCTGTCATTATTTCTGCCAGAGCACATTGCAGGTTAGAGAGGGGAGGCAGAGAGGCCTCATCCAGCAGGCATTACTCATACAGAGGTGTCCTTCTCTACAGATGATACAGACCTACGTGGAGCACATCGAGAGGTCCAAGATGCAACAAGTTGGGGGGAACAGCCAGACCGAGAGCAGCCTGCCCGGGCGGAGGTAGGCGGGGGCCATAGTCTGCAGAGCTACTCCTGACTCAAGAAGAAGGGTGTCTGGTCAGAGTGTGTGGCTTGAGCAAGGATTTGTGCTGAGATTGCCCCAGGTGCCAGAGTAGGGTTGAGGGGACATGGGTGGACCTCTGCTGGCCCATGTGCAATTACAGAGTCCCAAGGGAAATTGCGTACAACTAATCATAATACTCACAGGTTCCATGTTTGTGAATTCACTCATGGAGCTTTGCAGATGTATGTAGAGTGATGAAATGTTTGAGTCACCCAACATGCACAATACCCTCTAAGGCTGAACAAGGCATTGCTGCCTATTTTTCTCAGCCTCATGTAGAGATGCCCACAGGATGGAGACAGGAGGGCGGGCAATGTTGTTCAAGGTGTTCAGACATTCAGTTGAACTTAAAGCCTAGCTCTGGCCCCTGTTCATGGGGCAGCCTCATCCGCACCTCATTTCCTCTTTTGTAAAATAAAGCAAATGGACTCTACCAGGATGAGTTAGGAATTACAATTCTAATCTATGTGAGATGTGTATCTTTTTATGTGTGTATTTCCCTGGGAGCAACAGTTTAGTGTTACGAATTTGGTGTTCGCAATGACTTTATAAAACAGAACCACCGCGAATCACGAGAACCAACTAACTGTTTGTGGGTGGGGAAGAGACCCAGGTCACCTTGGTGACCACCAGACAGAGATATTCCACCTGCATGGCAGGCAATACCAGTAGTTTCAGAGGCCTTGACTTATCTGAGCTCAGGAGCTCAGTGCTGGTATATTCAGGGAGAGGAGAGAAGCCTGCAGAAGCCAAGCCCCTTCATCTTCTGTACCCTTCAGTCAGATAAAACTGGACCATGATCCCCAAGGGAGCAGATTGTCACAGATCTCCAGGGTGTTGCCAGCTTGAGAAAGTTGGGCTGTGGGAGACCAGAATCGCTGACCTGGGCCAGGGAGGTTGGTATTGGTGTTCTAAGTCTCCATCAAGTAGGATAGGCCTAAAGTGGGAATCCCAGGCCCCACAGGTCACGCTGGGCCATTGGTCCATTTCTAGCTATGGCCCCTCATTTCTGCAGGCGAACTCCCATAGTCCCTAGTCAGGTCACATACGGGCCCTGATTGGCTGCAAAAATTTCCTCTGTCCTGCCTCCTTGGTAGATTATGTCTGCAAACAAGTATTGCTTCAAGCCCTTCCTCTGTGGTGTCTTCAGTTACTCTCTGGGTTACTGTGGGCAAAGCCGTTGTGTTTTCTGATGTGAATATGTAGTATGTATGCTAAGGCCTAGGAAGGGTGGTCGTCAAGGGGATGGCCAGCATGTTTGTAGACAGTCTCACAGCCCTTAGCGGGGAGTAGGGTCTACAACTGCTGTGAGCATTCTTGCCATAAATGCTCCTGCCCTAGAGAAAGGCGTAGAGGCTGTTCCCTAGCTGACCCCACAGCCCTGTGAGAATTAAGTGACGAGAATGGATCAAAGCCTTTGTTAAACTACAAAACTCTATAGGTATTATTTCTGGGTCAGGTATATCTGAAGGTAGGGAATACCAGTCTCCAAGCTACCATTTTATGGCTTCAGAAATTTTCTCGTGAGCATACTGTGAAATCCTCACTCCTGGTTCTCAGAAGTTGACTGGGAAATGTCTAAGAATTGCACTGGAATGCTAACCTAGAATCGGGGTCTTTGTGTTGTTTCGGGGGAAGTTGGGCAGGGTGGTCTGAGTTAGGGCATCTCCGATGGGCTCTGGGTGCTTGGCCGGTTCCCAAGCTGCGGCATTCTGTAACCTTCAGGTCATTTCCCCACCAGCTCCCTGCTAGACAGGAGCCCCTGAAGGTCCCACAGCAGAGGGCCTACAGAGGGGTACAGGTTTCCCAGGAGTCAGTGAGGTGTGACCGTGAGCATCCAGCATCCTAAGTCACAGTGGTCAGGACCCTGAGCCCCAGAGTCGCTACAGAAATAGATGTCCTCAGAACCTCAAGATGGCGAGGGCTCAGCCAAAGGTAGAAGTGCCCATGCTCCATAACTGGGGCCTGAGGGTCCTGGCTGTCGCCAGGGGCCAAGTCAGGCCTCCGACTTCTCCTCTGCATGGACGAGGTGCCATGATTGCAGGATGGGGTGTGCTTTCTGTGGAAGTCTCTGTGCGGTAGAGTCAGGATATGGTCTGGGCACCTGCTGTCAAGATGTGTCCTGCAGCGTCGTGGCTTAAGCAGAGTCTGGACCGACTGCAGCACCAGCCCCTCCAGTCTCCCTGCTGCTCAGAGTTAGGCTTTGGACCACATGGCAGGCAGGCCTGTGGGAAGTTAGTGTCCCCTCTCCCCAGAGAAGCCCCCAGCCCCATGGCAGGCACCACCCTTCTGGTCAGAACTCCTGGATTTGCATGGGGTGGCTGACAGGGTCCCTTAAGGCCCCTCGGTGGCTCTGGAAGGCTCTGTGTCAGAGCTTCTCCTTCCCAGGGAACCAGAACAGGCCAATTGTAAGAAGCCCCTCGACCCGTTTCATCAGGGACCCATCTGTGTATCTCTTCTGTCCATGCCAGCAAGTCCAAATCCTGCTGTCTGGCCATAGCCATTTGGGACTTCTGGGAGGGCAGGGCCTTTAGTGCCGTGTAGAGAGCAATGCCGTAGGGGTTAGTGCTTGGCAGGGTCTTTCTTCACGCCAAGTCTCGGCTTTGTGGAGCAGCAGCATTTGTAAAACACACCCACTGGCTGTTCAAGAGAGGTTAGGGCTCTGGTCCAGACTTTTGTGAACCTTACCTCCTGACCTGATCCTGTCAGAAGGGGATCCATGAGGCCAAGGTGTACACATTTTGTCACCATAGTCTCCAGACCCTAGGCATTCTATTAATAGACCTTCCCAAGCCAGAGTTGCCTCTATGTCAGAGAGATGCCTGCCACAGGAAGAAGGTGCCTGGGGCTGGCAGCCGCAATCCACTTGAGGTCCCTTAGCTGTAATGAGGCGTGTGTTCCTACGAAGTGATGGCAGGAGCAGCACTTGTTTGGGAAGCACGTCATAGGAAGCAGAGGGGAGGTGCTGTGTCTGGGTGCCCCGTTGTTTTGCCACCTGGCCGGAGGCGTTTAACTTCATCACTAGCCCATGGCCAGCTGCCCCATGGTTGCTGTAGCAGTCACAGGGCCTCCTGCCTTCCCTGCAGCCGCCTCCCCGTGGACACTCAGAGAGACGCTCAGGGGCCATCATGCATGTCTGACTCCGTCCCTGGGCCTGTTTCTGGGTAAATAGACATGGATAGCAGCCACTGCTTCACGTTTCCAGAGGGGACACCAGTGGACATAGACAAACCTTCTGTCACTGTGCTTGGGCACTGGCTTTTGTAGGGCTTATGGGGTTGGACTTTCCTTTGTGACCTGTGCTGCCGCATTGGTGGGTTAAGGGGAAGGCCCTGCCTACCTTCCTGGCCCACTTCTCTCTGAGATGTAGCCTCTCCTGCCACAATTCGGGATCCTTTGGGGACACATGTATGCCCGCCTGGGTTCTTCATTTAGACTCTCCGGCTTTCACCTTCAGGGCTCATCTTTAGTGCCGGGGACCCTCCGGGTGGCCCTGACCTGAGACAGGTGTTTTCCTTCACTCCTGGCTTGGTTTCCAGAATTGTGTGTCTTTAGAATAGAATTCAGTGTGCACTTGAAACACCTGGTTTGTGTGCTTGTGTCCATGAACGTGACTGTGGGTGGCTGTGCGCTCTGTCCCTGCATGCCTGAGTACACATGTGCCGAGCCATCTGGAGAAGACACTCACCCATCACCCCATGCCGAGTGCGTGTGTGACCTTACCTGCTGCACAGGTCTCGTCCAAGCTAAGAGGGTCATGTGTCTGTGTGTCTGTGTCTGTTGTGTGTAGACATCTGCATGTTTCGGCATGTCAGTGGAGTGTAGAGTGAGGCGCCTGCCTGTGTCATTGCACACTTACTCTCCACGCAAGCACATATGCAACCGGAGCTTCTTGTCACCTGTCTAATGCTGTCTTCTTGTCTTGCTCTCTGTGCTGTCACTGCTGCGTGCTGGCCCTGTGTCTGTCGCTGTCCTACAGTCCTCGCCAGTCGTGGAGGAAAAGGTAAAGGCCACACAGTGTTCGTGCTGTCGTGCCAGGCACTTAGGGGCCTTAGGGGTTGGGAGAGTTAGGGTGCCGGTAGTTCTTAACTACAAGCGCAGGCAGTTTCCGAATCAGCACAACACATTTCCTGCAGCGATGTTACAGATCACAGCCTCTTGACGGAGTGATTATAGAGCCACGACATTGAGGAGGAGATGGCAGGCTGGCCTGAAGTCCCTGAGACAGTCCCAGAGTAGGTTAGTGGTGCAGGGATCCCACTCAGCAAATGTCCACCCGTCCACAGCCTGGGCGGTGCATGTAAAGCCCAGGGCTGGCATTGCCTTGGTGGGTGGGGCGGGAACCCTGTGCTCTGGTGTCAGACAGCCTGCCTTGGTCATTTAGAGCCCTGGGCCCTGAGCCAGTGGTGTGACCATGACCCCACAGGCAGACAGCGTGAACCCCTTGGGCTACCGCCTCTGAAGTGGATCAGTCTTGGTATCTCCCAAGGGAGTTGCAGGAATGTAATGTGTGGACACAATGGCCAAGCTTCAGACAGGGCTCTGGGCCATCAGTCGATGCCCAATGAGTACTCACAGGGCTCAGAGAGCAGGCTCATTTGCGATTCTTTGGGGAGCAGCAAAGAGATGACCAGACGTGATTCCTGTTGAGGAAGAGTGGTCTGGCTGTCTCCAGGTGTGGTGTATGTCTGTGCATAGCTGTGGAAGCAGGTGATAGACAAGTGTCCCCTGTCCTTAGAGGCAGGACACCCACACCCTTCCCCTATCATCACCCTGTAGCATCTGGTGATAGCCAGGGTTGCACTTGCCTAGGGCCGAGGGGCCCATTGTACGTTTCATCCAAAGTCAGACCCGGCCAGGGGAGGAGCTACCCATACCAGCCTCTGATGCCCCAAGGAGGAAAAGTGGGCACAGGACAGGCTGGGAGCCTCTGAGAGAACAGATGGGAGTCGTGTCCTGGCCTGGCCCCCACCTCCAGGGATGTGCTGAGTGCATGGCAGCAGCTGCCTTCCCAGATGCCTTGGGCCTTGTGGGCTGTGTCAGAGCCCGAGTGAGCCGTGGGCCCCTGAGGTCTTGATAGATCTGCAGACTCAGAGCTTCCCAATTTGACATCTTTCTTAAGATCTGAGTTTCTTCAACTCCTAATTGACATGTCTGAAAAAGCATTCTCTGTCACAAGTAATGGGGGCTGGTGAGGCAGTTCCTGAGAGACCTAGGCCCTGAGCATGCCCCTCTGGCTGACCCCCACAGGCATTGGTAGCCCTAGCCCCTTGGGAGCATGCTGCTCCTCTGGTTATGTCCCTACCACAAACTAGCTCCTGTGACAGCACAGCCAGGTCCCAACAGATCCAGGGGACCCTCCTCTGCAGGAGGCAGCATTTTCCTGAACAGGACAGAGGAGCTGGTCCCAAAGGGGATAAAGCAGGACTCTGACTCATAGACTCCATGTTTCCTCCTGCACGGGGGCTCCAGCCAGAGAGACCCCTTCCAAGAGTTGGACTTCATGAGGCTGCCTACCTGGCCATAGTCAATTCAGGTCAGCGGAGGCTACTCTGCTCCCCTTCTTCATCACCTGCATCCATCAAGTACAGAAAGGAATCTTTCCATCTTCTCTATTCAGAACAGTCCAGCCTCTGGACTGGCTCTTTGGGACCCCTGAGGAAGCCCCGCTGCCGCTCCTCCCACTGCCGTGTCTGGGGATCGAGCTCTGAGTGTGAGAGACTCTACTTCTTGGCCTAAACAGCTCTGAGCAGTGTGGATGACAGTCTTTGGGGTGCAGTGTGTCTTCCCCAGAGCAGGATGGCAGCTGCCCTGGGCTTCACTGCCTGGTGCTTGACTTGAAGCCTCCGACAGAGAAAGGTCTCTGCCCATACCGGTACTAAGGCCCACGCAGTGTCTCCTCAGGGACGAGCCCACGGCAGGCGGTTTTGAGCTTCACTCTTACAAGTACAGACTACCTGACATTCCCAGTCTCCTAGTATAGCTTGGAAAGAATCCCTCTCTGGTGTCGGTGCTCCATGACAATTTGGAAGAAGGCAGAGAGCAAGAGAAAGGTGACCAGGGGACTGTAGAGAGGTGACACCCACAGAAGGGTAGGGTCCTCTTACTCTGTGCTGGTCTGTTCAAACATTTTTCAGTGAGAAGGTCTCATGAAAAAACAGTAAAGGAGTGGGTGCAGGGGCCTTGGGATATGCTGGGGACAAGGAACAGAACAGGGCCAGCAGAGGTTGATTCCTTATGCTTGGCTCTAAGACATGAACCTGGGCTCCACGTAGGAAGACAGTCATCGTAACAGTTGCCACTCTGAGGAACTAGTCAGTGCTGGCCATGATGTCGAAGGGCTCCTCACTAGCACTGCTGTGGAGTGTCTTAGCATACATACCTGTCTGTTAAAATCAAAACAACTGAAAATGATAAATCACAGCATAGCAGATGGGGAAGTATTATCCAGGATCCCAGTTCACAGTGCAGCAGATTCCCTCGAATGTGCAAACACCTTTGATTAAGGATTAGCTCTAGATCAGAGGGAATGGGAAGTCCCCTGTGTGTGACAGGCTGCCCAGAAGGTCACGCCCTCCCCACAGCTGACTTCTGTGTCCCCAAGCCAGGGGAGGGATGTCATGTAGAGCATCTCCATCTGCAGAATAGGCATCTGCATGTGCAGGAAGAGTGTTCAGTTCTCATTTCACGAGCCACTGTCTAACCATCCGCTTCCTGTCCCCTCCCTTACATTCCAGCAGGAAGGAGCGCCCCACCTCTCTGAATGTCTTCCCCCTGACCGACGGCATGGTACGTGCACAGATGGGGGGCAAACTCGTGCCTTCGGGGGACCACTGGCACCTGAGTGACCTCGGCCAGCTGCAGTTCAGCTCCAGCTACCAGGTTTTGTAGCCGTGCCATGGAGTGGGGGTCTTCTTCCTGTTGCCCCATGTCCATTCAGAAAGCCCATTCTTTTCATACAACCCTTTGCAGCTTCCCCTGGGTTACTGGGACCCCTCCCTCAGGTATGACAGCAATGGAGAAACCTAACCAGCTCAGGGCGATCGTGGCCTTCCATTGCTACCTACTAGTCTAGGCTAGACCTGTCTGCATCTATTAGGGCTGAGCTTAGTGACCGTCCTCCAAACACACCGCAAAGTATGAGCCTTGTGGCCAGACTGGACTTCAGCCCAGAATGCATTGTGCTCCTGGTGTCTGCAATCAGGAGAGTCAGAGACCAAGAGGCAGCTTCTCTTTTCTGGCTGTTCTCACTCACCTGTCCATGCTAACAGCTTCTGGTTCTCTGAGCTCGAGAAGGCGAAATCAAACTGAAATGGGGGTGCCCAGAAAAAGCCAAGGGCAGGAACTTTCCATGGCCTCTCACTCGTTCAGGGCCCTGGCCTCTTGCAGCCAGTTTTGTTCTGTGAGCTCAGCCTGTCTGGTGAAGGCAGGCTGTGGCAGGACAGGATATTGACCCCTCACCTTGTAAGGATGCCACCCTTAGGGGTGAAGGCGGCAAACCTGGAGCTGGTGGATTTCCCACAGAGGCCATTGGAAGATGCCTGCGGGAGGCAAAGTGCCTTGGTCTCTGGGCAGGGTTGGGCTGTGGATGTGGGGCTCAGACATCCTGGAAGCTTTCCTCCTGCTGTAGTGCCCTTGCTGACTGTCCTCTGCCTCTGAATGTCCAGCTTGCCTGCAAGAAGTGGCTGCAAGCTATCAGCTCTGTCAGAAAGTGACCCCACTCACTTCTGCTCTTGTTCCAGGGAGGGAGCATGTCTCTGTGACATTTGACCTCGGGCGTTCACTGCCAGTAATCGGCTATCCTGCCAGAGGGTGGGGCTAAGAAGAAGGGCAGAGGCCTGTGGGGCTGGACTCACTCTCACTAACACCCAAACTGGGCCTGCAGCTAGGGCCTCCCCAGAAGCTCTTAAAGAAGCCACATGAGCCTCAGAAAGGCTTAGGGGCCTCTGTCTCTCACTCGGGGCTCCTTCTGCCCATGTCTGAGCCAGCTTTTCTTCTCACAACAGCTGTTTTCTCTCCCACTAAGTTGTCTGACATAATCTTTTTCTTAATAAATCATAGTGTTTTATGTTTTAGTCCTTAGGTGTATTTCATTTGATTTTTACTTTTTTTTTAAACAATTACATTTAAGTTTGTTTAATTTCATGTTCTAGGTTTTAAGGTTTTTCTAATTTCTTAATTTTTTGTTTTTTGTTTTGTTTTGTTTTTTTGTTTGTTTGTTTTTATATACTGTATTTTCAGTGTTTTAACCAAACAGTTGTGGCTACTCATGGTGAGGAAAGACCGCTAAGAGTTTGGGTTCTTTGCATTTGGAGGTCACTGCTACACGTTGATGTTTAGGAGGTTGAGAGGTTTGCCTTTAGGTAAGTGGTGGCCAGGGGGAGTGTCCCATGGGTAAGTGGTGGCCCATAGGTAACAGAGCTAGGGGAGCCTGGGGGAGGCCTGGTTATGTTGCAGAACTCCCCACTGTGATTACATGGATCAAGGAGGCCCGTGGAAAATCCACAGACACGAGTTTGAGAGTCGCAGACAGACAGGCTGGGGAACGTGGCCAGTGAGGAAGGTGGTCCGGAAAACGTGTGGTTCTGTGAGGGGTCCTCCCACACGTCCCCTCCCCAGTCTTCCTGGAATTCCCATGCATCCGGTCTTCTGCACCCATATCTCCTCAGGTGCTAGCACAGGACCAGATGGCAGCAGAGGGTCCGCTCTCCATGGGACACTAGTGCCTGTGATGTGGAGTGACAGTACTTAGGGAGCCATCACAGCTTTCAGTGTATGTGGTGCTATGAAGAGGAAAGGATTTTTTCTTCTCAGTTTGGCCCTAGGCTGTGGAACCCAAACCCAAACAGAAATGTTCGGACAGAGGGGCTTCTAGGGAGTGAGGGACAGGCTCTTTTGCAGGGCTTCTCACCTCAGCACACCCATAGTCCAGGGCTTTGGGGCCACCTTATGCACTGTGGAATGTGGAGTGGTACCCCTAGCCTCCACCCGCTCCATGCCAAGAGTGCTCAAACCACCACCCGGCGGTGACCACAAATGTCTCCAAACATCATAGGCATCCCCCGGGGATACCGCCTCCCAGGTCGAGAGCCCTGCCTAGAGAAGGATGTGTAATTTTGAAATTCCTGGTAGAGAAGTCTCAGGAGCCTGTTAAACTAAGCCAGAAATAGCCATCCCAGAGAGAGGCAGTGTCTTGCCCTGGGCCTGGCCATGATCAGTAGGGTCAGGAAAAGGCAAATCTCAGAAGCCTCCCAACCAGCTCTGGCTCCTTGTCACCTAGAGGCCAGCCCTTCCAGGTTAACAGGTGGGTGTAAGTTGGTCCTGGTGTTCATCCAGCTCTATGTAGAGGGCCAGACAGCCCCCTCATCAGCCCCTTCTCTGTTAGAAAGTTCCCCCAGTGTGCGCTCTGAGGAAACCGTGTGACTTGGTACCACAAGGTGACTTGGGTAAACCCCATGAGCCACCTCTCACCGGCACCCCCACCAAAGGAGCCTCAGCCCCTCCTGAGGCCATGCTCCTTCTCAGCACCTTGGAAGGGGACAGAGCTCAGGGGAACTGCCTCCCACAGGCTGCTGGGAGGCTCCAGGGCACCTGCTTGGGGTGAGTCAGGCGTTATTGATATTAGTTTAATAGAGGAGTGGGGCCTGTTTTTATTGCAATTGTCTAATAGTTCCACTAGGAAAGACCGAAGTATGTGTTTGTTTCACGTCCTGTACTTATTCAAGTAAGTGTTCTCTCCATGAGATTCTTAATTGTCGATTGCACTTTTTAATAATCTAGTTTTTTTTCACTCCTGGAATGTTTCAGGGCTGTCCCATTCTGTGGAAGTGAAATTTCAATGTGTTTGTATTTGCGTACAGCAGACTTTGGTCCATTTGAGTTGTGGGGTTAAGTATTACGTGTCCACTGGTCTCTCTATTTGGGAGGCCATGACTGGCAGAACTGGGAAGATGCGCCCCTTCACAGCCTCTGACTGTGGCCAGGGCGGGAAGCAGGACACAGGAGCAGGTGGGACAGCTGCCCAGTGCTACACACGAGTGATAACTGGGTCAGAAGACCTCCACCCTGACCCTGTTAGAGCCCTCTGTCTACTTAGGGCTGCAACTTGTTTCTGACCACCCACTGGCTGCAAAGGGTTGCCTGCCATATCTATGTAGCTTCATGTCCATCACACATAGAATCATTGGGGAGCGCGCAAGCTGAAAGCCCCGATCTAAACTATTTAAATAATGTGGCAGCTGCCTCTGGAGAAGTAGAGGCAGCAGCTAGATAAGCCAAGTAACTGGAAAATAGGGGTCCTCCTGTCCCTTCCAGTCCGGGCAGTGTTTTATTGTGGCCAAGTGGCAAAGAAGCCAAGTGAAGAGGCTTCATACCTCTGTGTTCTGCGTGGCCTCACCTGGAGCTACAGGGGGCGGTGACTCGCACGATGAGCTTCCCCTCTTCCTATGTTTGGCCCTAGTGTCCACAAGATGAGATGTCTGAGTCGGGCCAGTCCTCAGCAGCTGCCACACCCAGCACCACAGGCACCAAGTCCAACACACCCACGTCCTCCGTGCCCTCGGCTGCAGTCACGCCCCTCAACGAGAGCCTACAGCCCCTGGGGGACTATGGCGCTGGCACCAAGAACAGCAAGCGGACTCGGGAGAAGCGGAACAGCCGCAACATGGAGGTCCAGGTCACACAGGAGATGCGCAACGTCAGCATAGGTACCTCGGCCACTGGCGCGCCCTGGGCTCATGAAGGGGGTGCACCCACCCGCCACCTACCACCTGCTCTCCCGCCTTCTTGGCCTTCTCGTCCAGAGAGATTTCTCTTCCTCCTACAGATTGTAGTTTTGGTACATGTATTTATTAGGCCACTCAAGCCACTGAAACACCACAGACTGTGTGGTTTAAACCACAGACGTTTATTTTTTCCAGTCCTGGAGCCCAGAAGTCAGACATCAAGGGTGTCGGCAGGGCTGGTTTCTCCTGAGGCCCCACTGGTGTGTAGATGCCATCTCCCCTCTGTGCGTTTGCATCATAATCCCTTTTTTATAGGGACACAGATGGGATCAGGGCCCACCCTAATGGCCTCATTTTATTATAATCATCTCTTTAAAGCCCTTGTCTCCAAATACAGTCACGTTCTGAGGTTCTGGGGGTTAGGGCTTCGACATATGAATGCGAGGGACACAACAGCTTCTTACAATAGAGCATCGTCATTCAGCAAACATAATCTAACTAGAGAAAAGAGAGGAGAAAAATCAGGACTTTTGGCCTGTTCAGATGGTCATGAGAAGGAGGCACAGTTCCAGGGGATGCCCCCGTCAGCCACCAGTATGGGAAGAGCCCTTTCCTGACAGTCTGCCCTGCAGTGGTCTGAGAAGGATCTCCAGACATGGGGCCAGGGGGCAGCCTAAGTAATGCAGAGAACTACCAGGCATCGCCCTGACCCCAGTCCCACTGTGTCCCCCAGGCATGGGCAGCAGTGATGAGTGGTCTGATGTTCAAGACATTATCGACTCCACTCCAGAACTGGATATGGGTCGGGAGCCCCGCCTGGACCGCACTGGCAACAGGTACATACTGGGCCCAGGGCCTAGGTCCTGGTGGGCGAGGCATTCACAGTGGGAGTTGGTACCTTTGGTGAGGGTGCCCTCACAGCCTCCACCAGTGGGAGAACATCCAGGGCACTGACCCACCCTCTCCTGTCACGCCCGCATAAGCAGTATTGGCATTGAGCACCCATGGGGGGGATCAGAGGGTCCCCACACAAGGCCTATTGATGCCGCCCACTCACCCTGCTCTTCCCTGCTACTTGTCTTCATAGCCCAACTCAGGGGATCGTCAACAAGGCTTTTGGCATCAACACTGACTCCCTGTACCACGAGCTATCGACTGCAGGGTCCGAGGTCATCGGGGACGTGGACGAAGGGGCTGACCTACTAGGTAAACACAACCTGACCTGTGATCCCAGGGCCCTGGGGCTGTTGCTGGTTTTGTTTGTAATGAAAGCAAAGTCTCTGTCTGCTGTGAACTAGGAACTTCTCTTTATATTTTTATTGAGATATGTTTTACACACCGTAGAATTCAGCCACTTACAGCGTATGCAGTTCAGTGGGTATGAGTGTGCTCAGAGTTGTGCCACTATCTAGTTTTAGAACATTTTCTCACCCAGAAAGAAACCCATGTGCATTAGCACTCAGCCCCAGCTCTGTCCAGCCTCTGCCCAGGCGGTCCACTTTCTAGGAGTGTGTTAGGAGGGGGCTGTGGCCAGCTCCTCCACTCTGCAAGGAAAATGCCCAGACAAGGGCATTCGCGCCCTCAGCACCTCAGGTGTCCACCAGCTCCCCGTGCCAGGGTCTGAGGTGGGCGCAGAGCCAGCCACCTGATATGGACTCACTCTTGGTTGCTCCTCCCATCCCTGGACGGCCATCAGATGTGTAGAAAGCCTGGTTTTTGCCAGGCGGCTACTGGTAGCCGAGGGCCTCCTGCATGGCTATCCAGTGCAGCAGGTGGGAAGTCAGAAGTGTCACCACAGGAGTCTCTCAGTGGGATTTAACCTCTTCCTGTCCCTAACCGTCTATCCCCCTGCCCCCGACCCCTGGGGACCCCTGCCCCCAACCATGTGTCTGGAGCCTGAGTCTTGAGAAACAGCCTTGTTCCAGAAGCCCTGCTGCAGGAAGAGCTCCAGGACCTCAGGGGCTGCAGCTCAGCTCTTCCTCCCCACTCAGAACCCCAGCAAGGTGAGCTTCAAGGACAGAGTGTGGCTGTTTCTCAGGGGAGCAGTGGTTCTGTTGGTCCCCTCCACACACACGATTCCACTTAAGTGGCTCACGGGGAAGGGGGCTTCTCTGTCCTCATTGCTCAGGTGGGAGCAGCATCTGGAACCAGGGCAGCTGCCTCAGCTGCACACGTGGCAAGTTGTAGCACAGGGTGATAAGGAGTCTTCCAGGTACTTCCAGAATCTTTGAGGGCTGCCTCTGACATCATGATCCATGTTTTGTCATCTGCTGCCCGAGTAGGCAGAGCCGTTGCTGTCTCAGATTAAAGTTTTTATTGCTAGTCTTTCTGTGGCTGTCACTCTACTGATTAACATTGATGTTCGCCATGCAGGGACTTGAGGGTGTTTTGGAGCCAGTCTGGGCCCCTCTGTTTGGACAGCGCTGCTCCCAATGGCTTGGTCAGCCCTCCAGCTACAGACATTGCCGGGCCTGGGCCCGCATGGAAGGTTCTGGCTGGCGTTTTTGATCTGGCAGATTGTCACTTTCTTTGCTTTGGGGCCACCTCTTGATTGGTCTCATAAGTTGATTGTCTTAATTGGGGTAGGGGGACCACCAGGGAGCATCATTGTCTGTGGTGTTCAGTACCTTGTGCCTGAGATGGAAGTTTTTTCAGCTAGTTTTTAAATTGTGGTAAAATACACATTAAATTTGCCCATTTTTAAGTGTACAGTTCAATATTGTAAAGTACATCCAGACTCAGTGGTAATAAACTGAAGTCTTTCTGTCTAAGATCAGGAACAATACGTCCACTTTTAGCAGTATATATTTTTAATGGAATTTTTCTCATAAGCATTGTAAAAAATGTATTTCAAAGTATATGGAAACTTAATATTCAGAAAATACCTAATTGGGGCAGTCACTTCTAATATTTTGACATCCTTCTACTCTTTATATATAACTCAGATAATACCATATATATTCTATTTTTAGGTGTTTTTTTAATTTTTGGAAAAATGATACATGCTTATGATAATATTAAAAAATTATCAAAAATTGCCAAGGAGAGAGTAAAAACCAAGGCACCTTCCCCCATGCCATGATGTGTGTTTTCATGTCTTGATGACACCCTCCCAAGTTCCATGGAACACAGGGGACATGGGTTGTCAGCTCATGCCTGTCCTTTGTTGGTGATGTTACCATTTCTCTGAACCCCTAATTCCTCTACACATTTTAACTTTGTTTCCTCTGTGTGACTGTAAGTTACCTAATCATTTCTCTTTCAGTTCTCATTTTTGCTGTTTAAATACTGCTCTCATGGATACCTGCAGGCATACATCTTTGCCCACATCTCTGATGGTTTCTTTAGGACAGATTTCTAGATGTAGGAACCTCAAGGTGAAGGGCGTGGACTCTTGATGGCCACATGTTGAGTTCCCAGAGGGCGCTTGCCTTGGATTTGCATTCATGCCAGTAGGGGTGGGGCCTGGCTGTCACTTCCGGCAATTGTACCCACTGGGCTGGCTGTGGCTGCTGAAAGGCCACATATCAGCAGAGTTAGAAGGCATGGGGGTCGAAACTGTAACATAGTCACGCACACTGAATCCCTGGAGGTGCACCTAACCAGTACATCCGATGGGCCTTTGTTCTGAGGAACTGGAAACCAAGACCCTTTTCTCATACGGTGACAGAGCATGAGTCCCTGTGTGCTCAGCACTTCCACTGCGATACTTTGCAGGACGGTGGCCATCTGGTTGGAATGAGACCCTGCCCTCGGGTGATGGAGCTTTTGGTGCCTTTCCAGAGCCTAGAGGAAAATGAATGTGTGAAAGTCAGGCAGCCTTGAGGAGCTGAGGAAGGTCAAGGGTTGTTGTGACCTGTTGCTGGAGCACTGATGCCGGGGTGAAGGGATGAGCTGGGGTCTACTCTAGTCCCCTCACCTGAGGGACCCCATCACCAGAGTGTGGCTCAGCTAAAGCAAATGTCAGTAATGGGAGTCCTGGTCCCCCATGGCATCTTCATTTCACAAACGAGGAAACAGAAGCTCAGAGAAGCTAAGCAACTTGCCGTGCATCACTTAGAATCTGAAGCTCTACACAGGCTGCTCTGAGTTTCATGCTCCTCTGCACGAGTCCAGGAGCAGGTCCCACCCACAGAACAGCCGGACCTAGAAAATGTCTAGAAATAACCCTGACATAGACAGACCTATGTGAAGAGTTAGAAAACATAATTGAAGAACATAAGAGAGGCCTCACATAAATAGAGAATTATGACATGTTCTTAGACTTAAAGACTGAGCTAGGTAAATCTGTCAGGTGACATCACAGATCAGCCCATTGTTTGTACATGAATTCATTCAGTTCCAGTAAAAAGACCCACACAGTTGGTTTTTTTTCCTGGAACTGTATGAATGGATTCTGAAGGTCATCCAGAAAAGTAAATGTATAAGAATAGCCCAGAAATTTTTGAGAAAAAACAGGTTTGCAGAATGGTCACTCCAGATATCAGCATTTTGTCAAACCATGATGATGATAACAGGCAGCTCTGGGACCGCGGTTAACCAGTGACTCTGTGAGTGCCTGCCGAAGAGCTGAGGACAGACCTGGAGCCCTGTGGGAGCTCATACTTGACAAATGTGGCATTTCAAGTCATTGGGAAATGGGTGGATTATTTAATATATGTACTGGATTAGTTGAACAGCCACTGGGAGAAAAATGAAGTGTGATTCCCAACCCCATACCATACACAAAAGGAATATCGAGGTGGATTAAAGGTTTAAACATAAAAATACAAGGATGATGGGACTGGAAGAATATTGGAGAGTATTTTCATAATCTGGGTCTCTCTGCATAGTCATAGCCATAGAGGAAAATATTGACATGAAAATTGTGTGTGTGTGTGTGTGTGTGTGTGTGTGTGTGTGATCATCATTATAACTGAAAGAAGTCAAGTAAAATAGAAAATGGGCAGATGATAAAATAGGAAATTCACAGAAAATACTAACAAACATGAAGAGATGCTCAATTTCAGGAATAATACAGATAAGAAAATTAAGAGAAAATAGAGATAACTCTTTTTCCTTAAATTATTGACAAAAATGAAGCAGCTCTGGTGGAAGATGACTTGTGCACTTGGTGGAGTGCCACTGGAGTGTGAGGTGGCAGCTGGAGACTCAGAGTGAGCAGGACCACAGGTTCTCAAACAGGGCCACCTTGCCCACACATGATGGTGTGCATTGTGGTATCCTGGGTGGTCATGCCCATAAATGCCCTAAATAGCTACTAAAGGAATGAGAGCCGTAGTAAATGATGGGACAGCCCTTATATAGAAATATGACAAAGCATTCAAGGTGTTGGAGGGTCTTTGACGTGCACAGTCCCATGATGGTGTTAGGTGAAAGCAGGTTGCCCAAGAAGATAGATAACGTGGCTGTGATGTTGTCTTTTAAAACTCGATGTCTATCTAGAAAGATGTCTAAGAGGAAGAACATCAGAGGTTAACAGTGGTTGCCCTAGCAAGGAGAAATAAGTGAGGGCCCTTTTGAATTGATGCACTTCTTTATTTGAATTCCCACAACAATTTATGTATTTCATTATTTAAGTCAAGTGACTTTTTATACCGCTTCTTTTCTGTGTGAAATGAACCTGTGGAACAGTATCGTCTCATCGGATTTTCAGCTGGATATCAGAGAGTGGTTTGGACCCATGTGAGGACAGCACATGGCCAGCCACACACGCCCTGTCTCTACCTCTGCTCTCTAACTCAGTGTTTTCCTCCCTACACAGTGGGGCCCTGTGTTCTGGTTACCCCTTTCCTGAGGTTGTGCCTGTCCTGAAAGACTTGGGCTGGCCATGGGACCCCACAATGCTAAGTGCACATCTGTCAGAGAGCTCTGTCACTCTGGGAGCGCCTTTGTGGCTGGACTCCCTTGGTACCCCACCCACGTGCAACCACACACATATGTACACAGCCACTCACCCATGCACATGCACACACACCTATGCACAACTACACCATTACACAGACATACGCAACCACTTATTCACGCACAACCACACACATATATCCATCCTCGACCACACACATGCACATGTGCACAGCCACTCAATGCACAACCATGCATACACACACCCATTTACATACACACACACGCTCAGGCCTTAGCTGTCAGGTCTGTAGAGGGCTGGCCCTCCTGATGAGTGGGTGATGGGGACGGGGTAAGCAGGCTTTAGGTTCCCACACCCACTCCGGGTATGCGGGGTGCTCTGGGCCCCCCAGGGACTGTGGGACATTCCATTTTGACTTCCCTCTTTCTTTAGGGATTCTGCCCTTAGTGGGATTTGTCACCACAGGCCTGGTGACATTTGCTCATATTCTTTCATGCCCTTCAACATAGAAATGGCTGATCATTGTTGCTTTTTCTTTAATAAGAATTTCTTTATTTTGTTGGTTTCAGTCACCAATTGACCTTTGTCACTTCCTTTCCCCGTCTCTTTGTGCTTCGCTGGACATGGCCCCAGGAGAGTTCTCAGGTGTGTATCTCTGTCAGATTGGGCCCACTCTTCCCCACAGTGAAGTCCGGGTGGAGTGGGGTGGTGCTCCAGGGACACTCCCTGATGCTGTCACACTCCAGTCACTGCTGGCTGTGCAGCCTGTCTCCTCCTGATTCCGTTCCAGGCCACTAAGGCATATGTGCTTTTGCTCACCAGCCTGCCGTTGCTCGGAGTTTATTTTGGTTTGCTCCACTAGCCCACTGATGGTGACCTTGACATCTGAGGGAGAAGCTGTGCCCTGACCTCGTCTTCTCAAAGGCCAAGAATTCCCCATGGCCATTTCTTAAGGTTCTACAGAGCCATTAGAAGCAGAGGACAGTTACCTGGACAAGGCCTGGCAGCCTAGTTCTACAGTATCTTCCCTCTGTCAGGTGCACCTCAGAAGTTAGGGGTCCCATCAGGCCCCTGCCAAGTGCAGCTCAGGGGTCCTCTCCCCATGTGGCAGGTGGTGAGAGCTCCTGCTTTCTTGTTTTGCAGCAGGAGGTTCTGAGGCCCCACCCACCCATGTGCGGCCTCCGCAGTGTACAAAGCATGCAAAGGCACATGGTCCGGGGCACAGCTCTCCCTCCCTGCAGGGACTGCTGTCCTTACCCCACCCCTCACCACCCATGGTTGTGGTGTAAGGTGTCAGTGCATTGCCGTGACCTTCCACCTCACTGCGAGTGCTTTTAGCCTGGTGATCTATACAATCCAAGGATAAACTTTCTGGAAGGAGTAGCCAGCTCCCTCCTATCCTGCTCCTGCATCCACCCCTAACCCAGCAAGAAGTAGTCCTAAAATACCCGCCACCTGCTGTCCACACAGGGCTTAATGCGCTTGTTTTCTCTCCCTTCCTCTCCCCTGCTCCTTCCTCCCGCCCTGGTTGCCCATCTCCCCGTGGGACCTGGGACCGGGATGGCTCCCATAGTGCGCGATGATTTTTTTGGTAAGGCCACGGCCCTGTTTGAATATGTGTTTGTCCCATTTCGGGCTTCCTTTGTCTGCCCGACACTTCTCATGTTTCATAAGCTGTCTGCTTTGTTCTGCATGGTGGGACTACAGTGGGGTCAGCAGGGATTTCTGGAGTAAGGACTGGGGGCCTCCGCCTCACCTCTCCAGCAGCCTCCCTCAGAGTAGACCCTTGGTGGACTGAAGAGGGGCAGGGCAGCCCCAGTCTCTCTGAGCTCCCATAAGCTCAGGGCAGGCAGGCTGGCCCCTGGGTGCACCCCTGAGCCTGTTCGAGGTAAGCCTGGTGCCTGCTCCATCCCATCCAAGGGGGAGGCAGGCCGTGTATGAGGCAAGGAGGAGAGAATGGGGACAAGCAGAACCCTCAGCTGAGCCTGCTGTGTGCATCTTGTCTCATGGTTGCATTGGACCACAGAGGGAAGTGAATAGGAGGGGCTGTCTGAAAGGATTAGATTCAATACTTTGGGGGCTTTGCGACATGCCTGCAGAGAGCTCAGTTTGTGGGGTCCACTCTGGGGCCTGATCACAGAGGAGTCAGGTCAGCCTTTCTGGGCACTGGCCCCAGGGAGCACTGTCCTTTTCATGTCCACTCCTTCCTGTGTCTTCTGCTGACCCCACTGCCTTCGACCAGGTCCCACCAGTTCTGCTCCTGTCCCCACTGGAGGGCTGCACCTGCCATGAGGCCATCCCATCACCTTGGCCAGGTGTTCTCTGCATCTCGTGCTATCTTCTCTGTTCCTATCACCACACCTCTAACCTCCATTCCTTTGGGGTGGGAGCAGCTCTGAAAGGAGTCTGCTTCATGGTGGGCCAGGAAACCACAGGGTGGGGGAAAAGGGTAATGCTAGGATGGGGGTGGAGATTGAGGTGCCTGCACAGAGACAGTTCAGGGTTGCTCAGGCTGGTGCCATCTGGGCCCTGCTGGTACACAGACTTCATGTCTGTACAGAGCTATGGGAACCCAATTCCAAGGTCCAGAATGTAAGCCCAGGGCTCTTGCATCCATCAAGGCAGTGGGGACATGCTCAGTGCCATCCAGAAGCCATTCTGGGACCCCCTTGGGGCTCGCACACAACAGATCCATCTCTGACTGCATTGCTGGGTGGAGAGTCCGCCTGAAGGCCAGCAGAGTCCTCTCCCATGGTCTACTTGGCCTCCCTTTGCAGCTGGTCTTCCTGCAGACCGGACCTCTGGCCTTTATCCCCTCTCATCGGCCTTCCCAGGGGTGGGTCACCCCCCAGAGAATCTTTGTTATTCTGAGGCAGGTGTGGTGACATCAGGGTCTGGCTTCAGCAGGCACAATACCTCCACACCTTGTGTTTCAGGAATGGGCAAGGAAGTGGGGAATCTGCTGCTGGAGAACTCACAGCTTCTGGAAACCAAGTAAGAATGCTCTTTAGTGCCATGGTTGCTGAGATAGCCCTCCACCAGGGCCTCCACCAGGGCCTCCCTGTGACAACTATGCCAGCCCAGCCCCGAGGGTGGCCACCAGAAAGGACCTGGACCCAGACAGCTGAGCTCACCCCTCCTGGGGAGAGTACGGCATGGCCACTGCCTTTAACTGGGGCATGTGATCACCACTTTTTGCCACATTCTGGACCAGGATGTGCTTTCTCAGATACGCAGTGCGGGCAGACCCCTCTGAGACCCCCATCACCTAACGTATATGCTAGTTCACATGGAACTCTGATCTTTCTGCCTTTCCAAAGAAACGCTCTGAACGTGGTGAAGAATGACCTTATCGCCAAAGTAGACCAACTGTCAGGGGAGCAGGAGGTGCTGAAGGGGGACTTGGAAGCGGCTAGGCAGGCCAAACTAAGGTTGGAGAGCCGCATCAAGGACCTGGAGGAGGAGCTCAGGAGGTGAGCAGGGCTGGGAGCAGGCACTGCCTGGCTGTAGGGTGGGGCTCCCAGAGGAGGCAAGGTCATCTGTCATGGAGGGACAGATCCCCATGCCCAGCTCCCTCCGTTTGGGGGTGGGGTGGGTTCTGGCATCTCTTCTGCCAGCTATACCCAGATAGGTCATTCCCTCCCAAAGTGGCCCACTTTGCATGCTCACCTCTCAGCCTCCTGTTCTCTCTCAATTGTATCTCGTGTTTACTCCACCCACCCAGCTTCTGTGTTATCCGCCAGCCCCTCCCCACTGTCTTGGGTGCTCTATCCTTGGTGGCCCAGCTGGGCCTTCCTGCTGCTCTCACACCATTACAGTTCATTCAAGAGGAGGGAGGGGAGGACTGAGGGTGGCCTGCCCTTGGTATCCCATGCTCCCCTCTGCTCCCCATCCCTAGATCAGCCAAGGTTCGGCCATGCAGCCCGGTTGAGAAGCTCTGGGGTCTCCTCCCCCACAGTCTGCTCTTCCCTATAGCCTTTCTCTTCCAGCCTGATTCTCACCCCATTCTCCTGGAGTGGTAAATGGGAATGGGGAGGTGTGAGAGGAGGGCCCCAGGCAGGTGGCTCCTGTCCCTGTGGAAATGGGAACGAGATCTGCTCTGGGCTTGCCTGAAGCCAGAGCTTCCCATGCTCAGGAGTAGCTGGCTCTGCCTTCTCAACATTGCTTGACCCCTGAGGGGAAGTCCTGTTCCTTGGCTGGAGCAGCCAGGACAGATGTCTGGGCTTTAGGGCACACGTCAGCAGGGGTTCAGGGCCACCCACCCAGGTCTCACTGGCAGGCATGCTCCGGACCCAGGAATGCTCAGGACCTAGAATTGGAGGGGAAAGCCCAGTACCTGGCTGAGAGGCGGGACAGCCTCTGGGCCAGCACCCAGCAGGCTCTCACCTTTGCCTGGCTTCCTTCTTGTCCTGCAGAGTGAAGTCAGAGGCTATCACTGCCCGCCGCGAACCCAAAGAAGAGGGGGAGGATGTAAGCAGCTATCTCTGTACAGAATTGGTATATTCCACTATTAACATGTGGGCATGGGGGGTGGCTGTGGGGTGGGACACGCTCGTTCTTCTGGGCCTCTGGACCCCTCTCACCCCACCTGTGTGACAGTGTCACCCAGAAGCATCCCCCCCAGGATGTCATGAAGTCAGAACCAGCCCCCCTCAGCCCCCGGTCCTAGTGGATGCATTTTGCACAGTCACAAGCAGGGTCTCCCTGCCTTCACAACGCAGCCACTGCCCCATATGCTCCAACTTGCAGAGCTAGGCACAGAAATAGCATCAGTCAGCACTGTCTCCAGACAGAACAACTGTGAGGACCTCAGACTGCTCATCTGCCCCCACCTTCCCCTTGAGGTGCATGGAATGTACTGAGGAAAGCTGGTCCCTCTGCTCCCTGGGCAGGGCCAGACGTGGGGCTTCACCCCAAGTGAATTTGGACCTCTCCACTCCTTTGCTGTTATTTTTGGGGTCACATAATGCTTGGGTCAGGATGTGGCTCAAACAGCAGGTCCTCAGGAAACAGTAGCTGCTCCTTTTGCTTATCCTGTGCAGCCCCTCACTCCAAATACTCTAGGAGAGAAACAAAGCTGCAGGTGAACTGTGGAGCTCCCCCAGCCCCTTCCCATGTGGCACAGGAAAGAGATGCCTGTTCGGGGCCTCTGCTTGCTTGTGTGGAGTCTGGGCTGCATATGGTGGGGGCTGCATGGGGAAGGTGCATGCCTCACTCGCCTGGTAGCTCCCCACTGGGCCCCCTTGCTCCTTGGTCAGCCTGTGGCTGCCCAGGGCACAGCTTTGCAGAAGTAGACTTGGTCTTGCCACCCAACTCGCCAATAGTAAACCCCTCACGGATCCACCAGAACCCCCTTGAACGTGGTGACCTCGGGTCCTGCTCACTGGTCCTTTCCTAGAACCTCTCTTCCTGCGGTTCCACCTTGGACCAGTCCCACCTGTTAATGTTGACCAGAGGCATTTGGGATTGCCACGGTGTCCAGGGACTTGTAGGAAAAGTCACTGTTGTACCCCTCAAGTATATCCTGTGACCCTCTGGAAAGAAGGTGGCCCTGTCGACAGGTAGACTTCCACATCTCCTGTCCCTCTGCCCACACCCTCCCTACCCTTTTGCTTGAGGGTCTGTGGGAATCCACACTTGGATTAGCCCACACCCGGAGACCAGCCTGAGAGGAAGCGTGGTGTGACCTGGCCTCTGAGGGCACCAGACTGACCTGCCAGCTGGCCCCTCGCTGGCTGAACAGCAGCATCTCTCCCCTGTAGGACAAGATCCCCATGGCACAGCGCCGCCGCTTCACGCGGGTGGAGATGGCTCGTGTGCTCATGGAGCGCAACCAGTACAAGGAGCGGCTGATGGAGCTTCAGGAGGCTGTGCGGTGGACCGAGATGATCAGGTGGGTCCCAACAATGTGCTCCCATCTCCATGTGTGGTAGCTGTAAGAGGTCCTGGCAATGGAATTGAGGATCACCTGAACCCCACCTCCCTCTCTTCTGAGAGGATTGGAAGGGTGCCGGGCCTCCCTGGTGGGAGCCTGCAGAGGGCCAGGAGAGCTGGGCCTCTGCTGCAGCCCTGGCCTGGCAAGCACATGCCCCCGGGCTAGAGCAGGGCTGGGGCACGTTGGGGCTGGCGTGCCAGGGCCCCTCTGTTCTGAGTGACCTACCCAGGAGCCCCTCTAATGCTCCATTCCCAGTGATTCCAGGTCAAGGGTCCCCTGCAAGGGAGGCAAGAGGGGGCCCAGCAGGAGTGGGACGTGGTCAGGCTGGGCAGTGTGTGGGGCTTAGCGCGGTGCACATGGTTTGGCCAAGGTAGGTGGGTGGATGTCACTGGGCAGTGGCTGAGTTGGGCTCCTTCCCTGCCCGTCCCATACAGAGCATCCCGAGAGCACCCATCTGTACAGGAGAAGAAGAAGTCCACTATCTGGCAGTTGTGAGTTTGGGCACTGGACTGGGGAGGGGTCAGGGAGGCCTACCTCAGGCCCACCCCTCACCTCCTGTGCCTCTGCTGTCAGCTTCAGCCGCCTCTTCAGCTCCTCGTCCAGCCCCCCTCCGGCCAAGCGGTCCTACCCTTCAGTGAACATTCATTATAAGTCGCCCACCACAGCGGGCTTCAGCCAGCGCCGAAGCCATGCCCTGTGCCAGATCTCAGCGGGCAGCCGGCCCCTGGAGTTCTTCCCTGATGAGTGAGTGTCCCACCCCTCCCTTGCTTCTCCCCTTGGCCCCATGGGGAGGGGAGACATGTGGCCCTGGGGTGCTGAAGCAGGACCTGCCTCGCCTGGCTGCTCTGGGACTGTGCTAGGGGATGGAGTGCATGATGGGAAAGGCCCTGGCCAAGGCATCAGGGCTCATGGCCTCTCTGAGCACACACTGCGCACCCCTCTAGCCCCTAGTGGGAACATTTGCTGTCCCTTTTTACTCCCCCACAGTCCCTCTTCTTGGTCCCAGGAGGCTGCGCCCCTCTCTTGAGTACCTCACTGCTGCAAGCAGGGGGTCTAGGCCCTACCTCAGCCTGATCCTGCATACCTGTGCTCCGTAAGGATTCTTAGAACTGACAGGAAGTCTTTCTCCAGGTTTGGGTTTCTTCTTGGAGAATAAGTTTCTACTTGTAATTTTGTGTTTTTCTTCATTTTGGAACCAAGAATTCGGCTCCAGGGCAAAGGTGGGAAATTCTGTGCCTGTGTCAGAGTCTGTGGAAGTTTCCCTGGGAAGACTCAGGGGGAAGGGATGCTGCATTGTAGGTCCTGCCAGCTGGCCCTTAGTGAAGGGGACAGCAGAATGGGCACCTGGATGAAGGCAGGTGCTGGGTGTGGTTTCCAAGCCCAGTGCTAGGGAGAGCCACCCCATCAGGTGGGCGCCCAACATGGCCATGCTTCAGCGGCCAGGAAAAGACAGGACAGGTCTAGGAGGGAGAGCTCCCAGGGAATCAGGTGCTCTCTGCAGGGCAAGCCCTGGGATCTCAGGCCACCAAAGACTGAGAAGTACTCCTTTGTTCCTCCTGCCCGCCCAGTGACTGCACCTCCTCTGCCCGGCGGGAGCAGAAGCGAGAGCAATACCGCCAGGTGCGCGAGCACGTGCGCAACGACGACGGGCGGCTGCAGGCCTGCGGCTGGAGCCTGCCGGCCAAGTACAAGCAGGTGCTGCGGGGCGCAGTGCACATGCACCGGGTGGGATGGGGGCATAGGGTGGGTCCACGGCCTCAGCCCCCATTCTGAAAGGATGGGTAGCCAAACCTGAGCCTCCCCAGGCCTCACTCCCACAGTGCCTCTCTGCCTGAATTGCAGCTGAGTCCCAATGGGGGCCAGGAGGACACCCGGATGAAGAACGTGCCTGTCCCTGTGTACTGCCGCCCTCTGGTGGAGAAGGACCCGACTATGAAGGTGAGCGAGGCCTGACTGGGAAGGGGGCGAGGCAGGGAGAGGTCCTTGCCCGGAAGCCGAGTCCAGGCAGGTTTGGGAAGCTGGGGAAGGCCCTGTCACATGTGTGAAGCCCTCATGCCTCTGTTCCCTCAGCTGTGGTGTGCTGCGGGTGTCAACTTGAGTGGGTGGAAACCGAGCGAGGACCACACCGGTAATGGAGTCAAGCCTGCACCAGGCTGCGACCCTCTGACCTGCGACCGGGAAGTGGAAGGAGAAGCCAAGAGCAACCACACGTCCCCCGAGAAGAAGAAGGTCAGAGTGGCAGGCAGGACCAGGGCTGCCTCCTCTTGTCATGTCTAGGTGGCTGGGCAATGCCCGTCTCTGCTGTTTGCATGCTCAGGCTGTGCCCAGCACCAGGGGCTGGGTGAGAGTGACAAAAACAGAGGAAAGTTGGGGACAGTACCTGAAACTGGGCTCATCTGAGGCACCCTTCTCCCCGCTAGGGCAAGCCCGGGCCTGAGCTGCCTCCTAGTTCTAGCCAAGTGCCCAGGAGCCAGGAGCTGCGGTGGGCAGGAACGTTCAGAGGGGCCAAGGCTCAGCAGGCAGGAGGGCCTAAGCGATCAGGTCCTTTGGGGCTTCTCTTTCCTTACAAGGAACACATTTCACGACCTACAAAGAAGCAGTGGAAGGGGCTAAGCAAAGAAGGCTACAGAAAATGCTTCATACTTTGAGTCTAAGGCTTCGTTTTTTATGTCCTGGCTTGATTTGGGGGCCATTGACTTAATGGCTCAGAGCTCATGGTCTTTTCCAGTGGAGTGAGACTGTGTGCCAGCGACCTAGATACAAAATGCAGTTCTGAGTGCTCAGCATCTTGGCTACAGGAGAGGATAGCCATGTCCCTTAAGGCCATGGGCAAGGATAGACCTGAAGATTCCAGGAGGCCCCCACAACTTCATGTGGCTGCTGGAGTCGCCCACACTTGAGCACTGGCCCGGTTTCCTGTGCTCTGACAGGCAAAAGAGCCTGAGACTGACGCCACCTCCAGCCGTGTGTGGATCCTCACCAGCACCTTGACCACCAGCAAAGTGGTGATCATCGATGCCAACCAGCCAGGCACCGTCGTAGACCAGTTCACTGTCTGCAATGCCCACGTTCTATGCATCTCCAGCATCCCTGGTGAGTGCCGCCCCAAGCCTGAGCCAGCTCCCGGGGCGGCAGGGTTTGTGCTGCTCAGACGATGACTAGGATGTTAAGTAAAGAGGCCTGAAGAGTGGCACCTGCCTTCTGTGGCATGCCATGGACACACGGGAGCTGGTGGTGGAGGATCCAAGCAGGGGCTTGCTGGTGGTCTTGTTAAAAATGCGGGAGAAGACAATGTGACCTTCACCCAATTAGAAGAAGGTGGGGTGGCCTCAGCAGACAGCCTCCATCTCTTCTCCCACAGCCCACTGGGACATGAGCTCTGGGTTTGGTCTTGCAGTAGGGGCTCCTCAACATGGGGTGACAGGGCTATGACTTCCCACAGCGGCCAGTGACAGTGACTACCCTCCGGGGGAGATCTTCCTGGACAGCGACATGAACCCTGAGGACTCTGGTACGGACGGAGTGCTGGCCGGCATCACCCTGGTAGGTTGTGCCACTCGCTGCAACGTGCCACGGAGCAACTGCTCCTCCCGAGGGGACACCCCAGTGCTGGACAAGGGCCAGGGTGAGTCCTAAGCCCGAGCCCAGGAGCCACCTTGTCTCTGCCCCCTCGTTCCTCCCCCTGCCCAGCCAAGCTCACCCCTCACATCCACAGGGGAGGTGGCGGCTGTCGCCAATGGGAAGGTCAATCCATCTCAGTCCACGGAGGAGGCCACGGAGGCCACAGAGGTTCCTGACTCTGGGCCCAGTGAAGCAGAAGCAGCTGCAGTGCGGCCTGGGCCCCTCACGGAGCACGTCTTCACCGACCCTGCCCCTGCCCCACCCCCCAGTGCCCAGCCTGGCAGGTGGGTTCTCTCATATGGGGCAGAGATGGAGGGGAGGGGAGGCTGGCAGAGGTGGGTGGGGATAGGCCTCCATGGGTCACCCTGGAATCATCACCCTTTCTGCAGTGAGAACGGGCCAGAGGCCAACACGTGTGGAGTACAGCCTGAGCCAGAGCCTAGCGGAGACCCCGAGGGGGCCAGCAGCAGTGCTGCGCCCACCATGTGGCTGGGAGCTCAGAATGGCTGGTAAATGTGGTTCTGGGGGCAGGGGTTGGGGAGGGCCCCCTGAGCAAGCCCCCTGCCCACCTCAGCCTCCTCCTGTAGGCTGTACGTGCACTCAGCTGTGGCCAACTGGAAGAAGTGTCTGCACTCCATCAAGTTGAAGGACTCCGTGCTGAGCCTGGTGTACGTGATTCCTAGCCAAGGGCTGGGCATCGGGAGGGGTCTAGGATGGCCCGGCCTAAGCCTGGCTCATCATCTTTCTGTTTTAGGCATGTGAAAGGACGAGTGCTGGTAGCTCTGGCAGATGGGACTCTGGCCATCTTCCACCGAGGCGAAGGTAAGTCCTGGTAGCAGTGGCCATGTGGGTGGGAGGTGTGAGCCATCCTTACTGTGAGCCAGTGTGGGCCCCGGCCAGGCCTGAGCATGTGTGGTGGGCTCTCTGTAGATGGCCAGTGGGACCTGAGCAACTATCACCTGATGGACCTGGGCCACCCACACCACTCCATCCGTTGCATGGCCGTTGTGTACGACCGCGTCTGGTGCGGCTACAAGAACAAGGTGCATGTCATCCAACCCAAGACAATGCAGATCGAGGTAAGCGCTGATAGCATGTGCTCCCGGGAGGGAAAGGGGCTCTTGCTGCCAGACACACCTTCTGATAGATATTGGGGGTTTCATGGGGTAAAGGGAACCACACTCAGGGAAGTAATTCATTTGTCCAAGGTCAAAGGCAAGCACAGGGCAGCTGGGCTGTGAATGCCAGTCTTTCTGGAGCCCACCGGCTACTTCACATTGAAACAAGTCAGGTTGACACCCACGTGGGCTCCACATACCTACCTTCAGCTGCCCAGATGTGGGCCCAGGGTGTGGGGTGGGTGGCTGGGGCTCCTCTAGCAGCCTGGACCCATGGGAGCAAATCAGGTGCTAGAGCAAAGGTTGCAGCAAACTGAGTGGACATTGAGGTGAAGCCTTGGCTGCAGAAGGTTCAGCTTCCCTCCCTCCACTCCCATTGATGGGTTATGGTCACCCCTCAGAAGTCATTTGATGCCCACCCACGGCGGGAGAGCCAGGTGCGGCAGCTGGCATGGATTGGTGACGGAGTGTGGGTGTCTATCCGCTTGGACTCCACGCTGCGGCTGTACCATGCCCACACGCACCAGCACCTGCAGGATGTGGACATCGAGCCCTATGTCAGCAAGATGCTGGGTAAGGCTGTGCTGGGCTGAGCCTGGTGAGGCAGGGAGGTCCCAGCAGACAGCACTGACCCACCTCCCCTTTCCCTCCAGGCACGGGCAAGCTGGGCTTCTCCTTCGTGCGCATCACTGCCCTGCTCATTGCTGGCAACCGCCTCTGGGTGGGCACCGGCAACGGAGTTGTCATCTCCATCCCACTGACCGAGAGTGAGTGACCCCATATATCTGCAGAGATGGTGATGGCCGCTAAAGGGTGCACATGGCAGGGTCCTGGGGTGGGCGTGCTCTGCCAGGCTACACTCAGGAGGATGCTGAGCTATCCTGGCAACAGCCAACCCTCAGCCCACCCCTCCTGTGACTGCTTCTCTCCTCTCCCCTCCATGCTCTGCCCCTCACTTCCCCAGCCGTGGTCCTACATCGAGGCCAGCTCCTGGGGCTCCGAGGTAAGTCCAGGGGCCTGCTTCCTGCTTTCAGAAAAAATCACCCAGCCCAAGACAGCTCAGGGCTGAGGCTGGCCTTGCCCCTCACCATCGGCCCCAGAAAGGCATGCGCTCTCCTATCCGCCACCCTTTTCTGCTGGGGATCCTGTCAAACCCCTCAGTGGGCTCAGCCCCTCTGGGTCCCACTCTGTCTCCAGCCAACAAGACATCCCCCACATCTGGGGAGGGGGCCCGCCCAGGGGGCGTCATCCATGTGTACGGTGACGACAGCAGTGACAAATCGGCCAGCAGCTTCATCCCTTACTGCTCCATGGCCCAGGCCCAGCTCTGCTTCCACGGGCACCGTGATGCTGTCAAGTTCTTTGTCTCAGTGCCAGGTGAGGGACTGTGCTCCGATTCCTGCAGAGTGGCAGCTGTATCTTCCCTTCAGGAGTCTGCTTGGGGGCTCTAGCTGCCCTGCTAAGGTCCCTGTACCCCATGACAGGGAATGTGTTGGCCACTCTCAATGGCAGCGTGCTGGACAGCCCATCTGAGAGCCCTGGGCCTGCCGCCCCCGCCTCAGATGCAGAGGGCCAGAAACTGAAGAATGTGCTGGTGCTGAGCGGTGGGGAGGGCTACATTGACTTCCGCATCGGTGAGTGGGCACTGCCTGCGGGCCCCAGGGATTCCCAGGCAGGGTTCACCCCTCAGTCAGCTGCTCTCTCTCTCCAGGTGATGGAGAAGACGATGAGTCGGAGGAGAATGCAGGAGAAGTGAGCCAGGTGAAGCCCATGCTGTCCAAGGCCGAGCGCAGCCACATCATTGTGTGGCAGGTGTCCTACTCCCCCGAGTGAGGCATGGTTTCCACCGCCCCCTGCCTGATGCCATTGTGTACATACACCCCACCCCACCCACCTGCCATGACCTGCCCCTTAAGGCAGCCTGTCAGTCCCTCTCTAACCTCTCAACCTGCAGCTTTCACCTTAGGTCTGGCCCAGGAGCCGGCAGGGGGCGGTGAGCAGCAAAGCGGGTCTGGCTGGGTGGAGGAGGGCAGTGGGTAGGAGAGGCAGAACCTCTGGGGACACAGTTTTCTCAGCAGCTCTTGGCTAGGTTCTGAACCCAGAGTCCAGTTCCAGGGCACTACAGGGCCAGAATGAAGCAGAGTCCCAGGGTGGGCTGGGCCGGGGCAGCCCCCCAGGTGGCTCCCAGAAATACCCTGGTCTCCCCACTCCCATCACTTACTCCCAGGACCCCCAGAGCAGTAAGCAGGGACTTCACCCCATCAAGTCTCCCCACTCAAGCCCACTTGTCTTTGCCTGCTCTCCACAGGGGTAGGGGCCCTAAGGGAACCAGCCCAGCCTCTTGCCTTCCCTGGGTTCCCCAGGTTCCCCTCCCACCCAACCCCCTACCCCAACCTGGGAACTGGCATGAAAGCACGTAACCAGGCTTCCTGGGGCAGCTGTTTGAGCAGACAGATGCCCTCATTCCACTCAAACCCCTTGATCGTTCTATATGGCAGGCTCTCATGGGCCCTCACTGACTCATGTCCTCTCCCCCCTTCCTGGGCAGAAGACCCACCTTGTAGAAGCAGGCCCTGGAGCCCTGCCCCTCCTGGAAGCCCCTAGGGTGGAATTTCTCAGGCTGCCAGGGCAGGCTCAGGCCTCAGAAAGAAGGGGAAGCCCCTGGCTTCTCCTGGGGTCAGTCCGAGGACACAGGCCTAGCCTCAGGGTGATGGGGGAAGGTGTGCTCCAGGGCCTGCCTCCCAAGCAGTCTCCAAGGAGCTCAGCTCCCAAGACAGGCTACTAAGTGCCTTGGGCCGGTGGTGTGGCCTGCTCCTTTGAGGGCAACTGACAGGCTGACAGCAGAGGCCCTAAGGGCTAAGACAGGGGGCACCTCGCTTGGCTCTAGGAGCATGTGCCTGCCCGCTTTGAAAGGTATGGCCCTGGACTGCTGCCTCCCCACTTGCCCAGGCCTTAGTCCTGCTCTGAAAGGCACTAACCAGGACAGCCCCAGGCCCTGCTGTCCACCCACCTCCCACCAGAGAAGCACAGATCTTGGGCAGCCATCCCACAGCCCAGCCAGGCACTACTGCAGTCACGTGCCACTGCAGGCTTCTCCCCACCGCCCTGCCACTTTCCACTGTGATGTACGTCAATTCCTTTGTCTGTTCCCACAGGGCCATAAATGACTTGGGGGTTATCTGGTTGGGTGCAGCTGGGGGAAGTGGCTGGGTGACAGTTCTCCTCAGGCTTTGGCCCTGCAAACAAACTCACGTATCTGCTCTGTATGTAATAAATGTCTTAACATGGTACCTGTGTCCCTGGATCCAAACCATGTGAGCACAAGAGTTTTCTTGTTTATTATAAAAAGAAATGCTGGTCCAACCTGAGGGCCAGGGTCTACACCCTGGTGCATTTCCAGGCGTGTTGCAAACGGCATGCCAGGTCTTGGGCAGACCCATCTGCCCTATAGGAAGTCCTGAAGGAGTACTGTGATTGATCCCTGCTTCAGAAGGAGTGTTCTGAGAGCATCACCTCTGGAGCCCAGAGAGTGCAAAGTCATCCACAACCTATTAGAGCACTTCTACCTTAGAAGCCCCAGGCGCCCAGACTTGAGTCCTCTGCCTCTGGAGGAGGCCCGGACCTTGGGTTCCATTACTCATATAGCCAGTGTTCGGTGCTGTCTTCCCAGCACAGGAGCTCGTCCGGGCGGAACCAGAGCGCGATCTCACGGCGGGCGCTCTCCACGGAATCGCTGCCATGAATCACGTTCCTGCGCGGGAGAATTGTGCATGAGCGGGGTGCAGGGGTACCAGGCAGCTCAGTCGGGGGAGGTGGGACTGGGGCCAGCCTTACTTGCCGACCTCGATACAGAAATCACCGCGGATGGTGCCAGGCGGGGCATCCACAGGATCTGTGGCCCCAATGAGCGCCCGCGAGACACGCACAACGTCCAGTCCCTGCCACACCTGCGGACGAAGTCGGTGGCGCGGACTCAGCGCGGGCGCGGGGTTAGCGCGCCACCCGCCCTCCAGCACTCACCATGGCCACCACTGGCCCCGAGCCCATGTACTTGACCAGGCGGCCGTAAAAGGGGCGCTCACGCAGTTCCGCGTAGTGCTCGCGCAACAGCTCTTCCG